CTAAATTAAAAAAAAATTAAAAAAATAAATTTTCAAAAATTACTTGTTGTATTAAAATGGATTTAGAGGAGCTCTGGTGGCCAAGTGGCAAGACGCTGTGCTGCAGTCCTGAAGGTCACCAGCTCCTCCGCAGGAGAAGGATGGGCAATCTCCTCATGTGCCTCTGAAAAGACCAGAGGGTCAGCTATGAGTCAGTTTCGACTCCATGGTACGCAACAACAAAATGGATTTGGGTGTGTTTTTATGTATATACTTTTTTTAGTATACCAGAATCTTAACAATGTTAATTACTATCAGATAATATAAACTGAAAATATTCTGTACATACTTTTCCACAAATAATACGTGAATTATAAGACTTAAAAACCAAGCACCTCCTTTACACCTTAGTTTTCTTTGTGCCCAGTGTTGGTTATAGGCATTTGCAAATTGGTTGTTGTTGTTGCTATGTACTGTCAAATCACCTTAGACTCACAGTGACCCAGTGTACACAGCTCTGAACCCTGCCCTCTTCTGAACCAATCTCACTGACTCTGACACAACTACCTCCGTTGCCTTAATTACTGTATCAATCCATCTTATGAGGTTCTTCTTCTCTTCTGCTGTCCCTCCACCCTTCTGAGCATTATGTCCTTCTCCAAGAACTCAAAGCCATCAATTCTTTTTCTGTCATCTTTAGTCATTGTCCGGTTCTCTGATGCATGGAATTTGCAAAGACCACAGCCTGGATCAAGTACATTTTATGCTCTACATTGACATCGTTGCTTCTCTGTACTCTGGAGAGGTCCCTGACAACAGATTTTCCCAGTGTAATTTGTCTTTTTTAAAAATTTCCTGATACATGTGTATATATTAGATGTAGGAAATACAGTCATTAAAATGTATTTCAAAGATTGATCTGTTGAAATTCAAAATTTGACTGAACATTGCAATGTTTAAAGCAAAAACATTAGATACAGTAGGGATTAGATCTGTTCTTTATAGAGTGATAGAAGAATCAACTGCCTTTGAATTGTGGTGCTGGAGAAGAAGTATTGAATATACCATGAACTGCTAAGAGAACCAAGGTTCCCCCTGGAGAGGGTGAATGAAATCAGGCTGTTGCTTGGAGGCAAGGTTTCTGAAGCTCCATCTGACATACTCTGGGCATGTTGCAAGGGGAGACCAGTCCTTGGAGGGGGAGATGATGCTTGGAAAGGTGAATATACAGTGCAAAAGAGGAAGATCCCAGATAAGATGAATTGACTCAGTGACTGTGGTAATGTGGGTAGGTGTGTCAGAGACAATGAAATTGGCTCAAGATAGAGCAGGGTTCAGGGCTTTTGTACATAGGGTCGCAATGAGTTGCAGGTGACTTGATGGAACATAACAACAACATGAGTCACAGTTGACTTGATGGAACTTAACAACAACATGTGATTAGAATCTTTAAGGATAAGTCTTAGAACTTCCAGAAGTACAAGATGGGTTTAGAAGCAGCTTGTGGTACTAGGGACAGTGTGGCCAATATCTGATGGACCTTGGCAGAATTTAGAGTATCAATGGAGTGTCTATCTGTGTCTCATTGACTATGCAAAAGTATTTGACTGCATGTAATACAACAAACTGTGAATAAGATTGAGAAGAATAGGAATCCCAGAACACTTGATTCTGTTTCTGCGAAACCTATACTCAGACCAGGAAGCAGTCATCAGAAAAGAGCAAGGAAACACTGCATGGTTTAAAATTGAGAAGTGCATCAGGGATG